CGCTGTCCCCGCAGCCGAGGCTGGCAGCTGCCTGCAGGACGGGCACCGCTACAGCGACAAGGACGTGTGGAAGCCGGAGCCGTGCCGGATCTGCGTGTGCGACACGGGGACGGTGCTGTGCGACGAGATCATGTGCGAAGAGCTGCGGGACTGCCCCAGCCCCGAGATCCCCTTCGGAGAGTGCTGCCCCATTTGCCCCACCGAGCAGCCCAGCGGTTGTAATTTATTTATTTCCCTTCATTAGAGAATTAATAAATAAATTACCCGGCCATGGATGGCGCCATCCATGCGGCAGCGCAGGGAAAAGGCAACTTCACCCCAAAACAACGGGGAAAAATCGGCCCCAGGGGAAAAATCATCGAGGTTTTTAGCCCTGGTTGAAAATTTGGAGGTTTTGGGGGGGGTTAGACAGAAAAAAAATGGGGGAAAGGGTGGTAGGAGGGGATTTTGCACCCCCAGCAAAAGGGCTTTGGTGGAAATCCCCCGAAATTGTGGGAATGCACCCCAAAATGAATGGAAACCCCACAGACAGCCCCAAGCAGGGTTCCCAATTGTGGAATTTCACCCCAAAGTGAAAGAAAACCCTAAACCCACTTCCCCCAAACCTCCAAAACCCCCAAAGTTGCCTTTTTTTAACCCTTCCCTTCCCCAGCTGGGGGGGATTAAAGGGTTGAGCACCCCCAAAAAGCCTCCAAACCCCTACGAGAAGCCCCCTCGAGCCCCTCGCTGCTGGCCCTGCTTTGGGGGAGCCCCCAGTGCCCCCCAGTCTGGCCCAACAGCCCGACCAGGACAGAGCCACCTCGTGTTGCCCCCACCCCAAATTCTTGTGTCACCTCCCCATTAATTTCTCTTTACTTTTCTTTTTTTTTTTAATTTCCTACAGGGAAGCCTGGCCCCAAGGTGAGTGAATTTGGGAGCAATTGTCCCGAATTTTGGGGTGGTTTTGGTGGGCCAAAATTGGGAATTTGGAGGGGGCTTTTGGGGCAGTTTTCTGCTCATCACGGGGGGTCAGACAGCAATCTTGGGGTAGTTTTGGGCCCTTGGGGGGTCAGAGAGAGGAATTTTGGGGCAGTTCTGGGGTCTCACCCTTGGCTTCTCTTTGCAGGGACAGAAAGGTGAACCTGGTGACATCAAAGATGTGAGTGGGGGGGAGACCCCAAAAAGGGGCTGAGGTGGGAGGGGCAGGGCTGGGAGACCCCACAAAGGGGCTGGGACCCCTCCAGTCCTGATGCCCCCCCCTTTTGTGTCCCCACAGGTCGTAGGACCCCGAGGACCCCCGGGCCCACAGGTGGGAGCAGCTCCGGGCTGGGATTTTTGGGGGAGGGGGGTTTGGGAGAGCGGGGGAGGGGCGGGAGGGGACTCCTGACCCCCCCCTCCCCCATCCTGTTCCTCCCCCCCAGGGCCCCGCAGGTGAGCAGGGACAGCGAGGGGACCGCGGCGAGAAGGGCGAGAAGGTGAGATTCCCAAAACCCCTAAAAGTCCCCTCACCCAAAATCCGCTGTGAAAACCTAAAATCCTCTTTGACCTCCCCCAAAAAACCAAAAACCAGCTGAGAACTCACCCAAAATCGCTTTCTTTGTCCCCCCTCCCCATCCTAGGGCGCCCCCGGCCCACGGGGCAGGGATGGGGAGCCCGGAACCCCNCCCCACAGGCTTGAGCCCTCATTAATTAATTAATTAACCCACAGCCCTGCTGGGCTTCTTTTTCTGGTTTCCCAAAAGCAAAAAAAAAAAAAAAACCCACACCCCAAAACAATGCCCAAAAATCAAAAAAAAAAATCCCCGAACCTGATCTCCCTTCAAACCCTGGGACCCTTAGCCCAGCCCTCATCAAAAATCTCTTTTAAGGTTGGGGGTTTTTTGGGATTTTGGGTGTTTTTGGTGGTTTTTAAATTTTTTTTCCCCCTGGATTTATTTATTTTTTGGGATTTTTCCGGTTCTGGGACACAGGGGCGTCTTTGTCCCCGTGGCTTTTGGGGCCCTGGCTCGGTGCCACCCCAAATAGGGATTTTTTGGGATGGGGGGATGGGAGAATTCGCCATCAAAGGATCCAAAATCCAGGAGTTTTTTTCACCTCTTCCTCGCTTCAGACAGGAGAAAAAAAGGAAATTTTTAGGGTTTGGAGTTGGATGAAAATCCTGAATTTCAGGCATTTAGGGGGCAAAAAACTCCCCAAGTTTTGGGGGGATCCTAAAATATCAAAGGGTGAAGTGACCCTCCTGTAACATAGAGTGACCCCGAGGGAAAAAATTGGGAATTCCAGGGGAAAAACCAGCTTTGGGAATGGGAAAAGTCCCTTAAGGGACACCAAATAATCCCAAGGTATCTCTCAAACCCATTCATCCAATTCCTAACGTTTCACCCCAAAATACCCCAGAAATAAAAATCACACAAAAAATACCCCCAAAATATTTAAAAAATATTTTTAAATACACAAGAATATTTTAAAATTCACCCAATTTTTTTAAAATACCCCCAAAATATACAAATGCACACAAAAATCTTTTGAAAATTCCAAGCAATATTTGAAAAATACACAAATAATATTAAAAATATTCAATAAATAAAAAAGCCCCCAGAAAAAAATAAAAATAATACACAAAAATATCCTTAAAAATGTACAGAAAATAACAAAAAAAAAAAAATCTAAAAAATACCCCCGCCCTAATAAAAACATTAAAAACTAAAAAATTAAATAAACCAAAATAAATCAAAATAGCCCCCAAAAAATCCCCGGTGAGGCCCTGAGCGCCCTCCCCCTCGATCCCTGAAAGGATCCCTTTGTACCTTTCCCAAAAAATCGCCTTTTCATCCCAAAAAAGGGGGAGGAGGGAAAGGAGGAGGAGGAGGAGGAAGAGGCCGTGTGAGGGGGGAAGGCTTTGACCTCATCCCACAAAAATTCCCGGATTTTTCCCCCATTTCGGGCCCCTTCCCACCTTTCCAGGGGGAAAAGGGACAAAGAGGCTCTGTGTGACAAAACCCCAAAAACGGGATGAAAAAGGAAATTTTGGGGATTTTCCCACAGGGAAAAGGAGGGGAAGAGAAAACCCTAAATGGAAAAAAGGAATTTGGGATTTTTGAGTTTTTTAGGGTTTAAAAGCAAATTTTGTGTCCCTACAATTAATTTTTAGGGGGTAAATTCACCCCAAAATCAGGTTTTCTGTAAGGCTTGGGGTCTTCAAAATTGCTTTTTTCACATGAATCCACTGCAAAATTGGGGATTTGGGGGCTTTTTCATCCCCTAAAAAAATCAATTAGAGGCTCAAAAACTGATATTGTTTTTATATTATTAAATTTTAATTTTTAATAGGAAATGTCATGGGATAATTGAAAATATGGAGTGAAATAGCTGTAAAATTAGGAGGAAAAAGTAAAATCTGGGAGTTTTAGGTGGGGACAAAGATCTTTTTTCTGCTCCTCAATCCCAAAAGGATCCTAGGGAATATTTGGGGCCAGATCTGAGGTTATTGCAAGGTGCCAGAGGGAAAAAATGAAAATTGGGGAGTTTTTGTGTTGAAAAAAGCCCTTTTAGAAGGGAAAAATAAATTCCTGGCTCATCCCCCAGTGAAGGAGTTCCCTCTCTGGGTTTGGGATTTTGATGGGATTGGGTGGTTTGGGAAAGTGGGAAAAATCAAGAGGCAAATGGGGGGGAAAGTGGGGGGAAATTTGGGTAAAAATGGGGTGGAAAAGGAGCAGAAATTAGGAGAAATGGGAATTAAAATAGGGCAAAATGGGGTAAAAATAGGGCAGAAATGAGGTTTATATCAGGTGAAATTGGGGGAAAATTTGGGTTAAGATGGGACCAAAACGGAGTAAAATGGGGCAGAAATGGAGGGAGCTAAGAGCCAAATGATACAAAAATAGGTCAGAAGTGGAGTAAAAAATGAGGAAAATTAGGGGTAAAAATGGGGGGAAATAGGATAAAAATTGGGGGGGGAATGGGGAAAAATGGTAAAAACTGAATTCCCCTTCCTCTCTCAGAGTAATTTTGAGCCTAAATTGGGGGATTTGGGGAATTTGGGGTGAGAAAATTGAGTCCCAAATCCATCGGGACGGGGCCGGTGACGCTCGCGGGTGGTGGCACCGTGATGGGGACAGCCAGGATCCCGTGGGGACATTGGG